AGCTGCAGGTGAAAAGCTGTTCCCAAAGAAAAGGATTCTTATTTGAAATTTCAATTATTTATCAGTCCAAACCACAGGTCATGAGTGTAACATTAAATATTGTCATTAGGAAGACCAAAATCCCTCCTAGGGACCTGCCAACAGGTTTTAAACATCACGTTTTAAACAAGAGCACGGTGAGCACTCTGAGCGCACGGCGTTTTCCTAATTCTATTATTTTCTGCAGATTTAATGATGCTAAATCTCTGTAGATCCCTTTTTTAGAGCTGAGAAAGCATCTCTGTTTTGTCCTCCGCAACCATCCCTAGTCACCCAGCCCCGTGACAGACGCGGCGTAGACGGGACCGGAGTTTTACAATTTGCGCGTTGCGAACGCAAGACGCAGAATTCCAGTAATTCTGTGTCATCCTGGGCGTTCTGGGACTAACGATTTGTCATGCACCTGACCTACTGCAGCATCTTGGAAAAATCTAAGAGGAAAAAGGAGAGCTACGAATACATAAAATCACGGTCTCGGCTGACGAGTGACGGCGCAAACGGCATTTTCCGATTTTTTCGTGGATCGTCTCTTGAGCGTACGAAGCATAAAGCTTTTGCCTGATCTGGCGTTATCTGTTGACATCTGAACGGGAGATGAGAACTGCAGCAAGACCTCTCCAGTCGCCATGGATGCCTCTCCTTCTGCAAGCACTCGAAACTTACCCAGGGTGTTTTTAGACTCCGTTGTTTCGGAAAGGGAAACATTGCGAGCTCCTTTGGGCAACGTGAAGGCTCCTCTGGTCTTCCCTTAAACAGAACGTCTGGAATTAGTGCTATGGGAGCCCAGCCTCAGCATTTCATTGACTACTTTTGTCAGCCAGATGGTCTTTACAGGTGTAAAGTACAAATCAGGTGACGTATTCTACGGCATTGAAAGCGGAATTAGACACATCTGGCAAATTTTAGTAGTCAATGAAAGTCAGACCCGTGAAAGCTCAGGTAGGTGATTTTTAAGTGGGATACTTGCAGATTTCACTTTCCAGAAACTTGAATTCTTTTTGGCACCTCTTGCTTAAATGTTTCCCTGTTGGAAGAGGTCGATTAGTCTTTTCAATGGCTAGATTGCCAAAGTTACTGTAAACCAATACACATTTCACACGCGCTTCTACCACCTCCGTAAACATTTGCAATGAAGAGGCTGATGAAGGACAGTCTTCCTCGAGCTATCCCCTAGCACTGCCTGTCGCTTCGCAGCGTCGTGCTTTCCAGACACGGAAAACACCGAGCCATGGCTCCATCGCACGTTGCCACCAGCCCGTGGGTTCCCAGTGGCCTGTGGGTTCCCAGTGGCCCGTGGGAGAAACACGGAGCCTGAACATGGTGGGTCACCATCATACCTTGGCCTCTCATTTCCCTGGTACCTTCCCGGTGCGTGGTTGCTCCGGACCATTCGTACAGCCAACAGAAACCAGACTCATCAGACAAAGCTCTTACGGGACTGGATCCAAACTTGGGACACAAATATCCTCTCTGCCCCCCAAATCCCGATCGTTATCTTAGAGAAAAAATCAGAAATGCTCTTAGAAGGCTGAGCACTTATTTCTGTTGATTTTTTTTTGGTTTTTTTTTAAGGAAAATGCAGTGGCTGCCAGCTCCAGAATTACACAGGCTTGTATATGAGGCTCAAGTTACTACTTGAGTACACTACTCCCAAAGTCTGAATGATTCCTGCATGATTCCATGTCCAATCCATCAGCCTCCAGGGAACCCTCCCTTTCAGAAGGGCTCGTTATTGTAATTTGATAATTACAATCAATAAACATTTCCAACTGGTTTGGAATAATGACTAAGTATTTTCGGCAGAATATTTTACGTATTTTACGTACAGTCTGGCTTCCCCAGACTGAATAAAAAACCAATACAGGAAAGTCTTAAAATTCAAATATGTACAAGATAATACTGGCCTGGCTGAACAAATAACTGGTAACATGGAAATTTCTGAAGAATTCCAAGGAGATCTTGAGTTATTATTGATATGTCATATATGATATGCAAAACACCCCAGGGTGCAGTCAGAAAATTTTAATCGGGTCGTTCTTAGTTCTGAGCCAGCAGAATCTATCGTCTGTTCCACTGGATCTCAGCCACACAACTTAAAGGGTAAGAGAAATGAGGATTCCTGCCAAAATGTTTTGATGTTTGGTTCAGAATGCAGCGGAATTTATTTTTAATTTGTTTATTTGCCTAAAGGGCTGCAGTCTGTGAGAAAGCATCATAAAACCACAATGTGAGTGAGGATCCACATCCTCATTTCATCGGTGCAGAAACTCAGCCTTCCGTTTAAAACTCTGGAGTTTGGGTTGGAGAGGGAAAAACTTGGGAAAAGTTTCATCTTCAACGAGAGAAAAACCAGGCTCCCTGAGTCCTCCTACAGACAGAGGCACGCTGCTCGAGCGACACCATTTCCTTACTGGGGACTAAACTGGTTTGGCCCATCAGCTCACAACTTGTCTTTTGTTACCTTGAAGCGTTTCGCATTCCTGATGGCTCTGCCAAAGCAGGGAGTACGACAGAAACACCAGAGACCACAGAAACCTTATCCAGAGGCAGGGAAGTGCTATTCCTACCGAGCTTTTTGGGAGTGCGGGTGAAGGTGCCCTTCACCGTTCGGCAGTGTGAGTTGTCCCCGCCGCAGACGCCGCACTTGTCTTCCACCTTATTGGAGCCGATTTCCTTGTCACAGCCCACTTTCTGCAGGAGAAAGAGGAAAAAATAAAAAAAAGAGAGAGAAGGGTTTGTCATCAGGTGTCAGAGTCAGTTATGGTGGGAAGTCACCGCAAAATTAACGGAGAGAGGAAATTACCACCCACCACCAATCTAGTTTATTTAAACACAAATTAGTTGCGAATCTGGTGCTGGATATCGGTTTTCATGGGAAAAACAGGAAGTGATTCTTGGTTTATATTCACTGTCCTTCAAGGAGGAGGCCCTGAGCAACCTGATCTAGTTGGAGATATCCCTGTTCCTTGCAGGGGGGTTGGACTAGATGACCTTTGAAGGTCCCTTCCAGCCCTAACCATTCTATGATTCTATGATTCAAGACTGAGATCAGAAAGACAGAAAAATCAACACAATTCTTGCCAGGCACAAAACCAAGTGCCAAAAAGGCAAATGAAACAATGGGTTGTCGAGAAGCGGAGTGTTTCCGTGGCACAGGTCTGTGCCGGTGCTCTCATTTAATTTGAATCTCAAGGAATTATGAGGAATATGATGCTGCAAATATTGAACGCAGAAGCATCTGCAAAGGTTGTCCCTGCGCTGTTGGCTGAGCTGTTCCGGTCGCTTGGAACCGGCGCTGCGGTGTGACCCGGTGCAGCTCGGACTCGGCGGTGGCCTCGGGAAGGTGTCACTCACCACGCACTCTCCGCGGACGCAGATGCTGTAGGGGTCTTTGTAGGAGCAGCGAGTCCCGTCGTGGGCCAGCTGCTTCATGGAGGCAACATCTCCGGTTTCTTTGGACTGGCAGTACAGGTGACACCTCTTGTGAGCTGCACGGCAAGGAAAGAGGGGGAAGGGCATCAATTAAGAGCAATCCAGATGTGCTCCAGAAAAATATCCCACTCCAGGAGGGAAGAGAATATGACAAGAGAAAAAAAAGACTTGGAACAGAGAGCTAGGGGGAAAAAAAAGCAACTAATTGGCTTTTCTGTGAATTATGGGCTTATCGCTTGGCGCCTCTTGCTCCATCAGGTTTTCACTAAGAGGAGGATGCCCCATCCCTGGAAGTGTTCAAGGCCAGGTTGGATGAGGCTTTGGGCAACCTGGTGTAGTGGAGGGTGTCCCTGCCCATGGCAGGGGGGTTGGAACTAGATGATCTTTGAGGTCCCTTCCAACCCAAACCATTCCATGATTCTATGATGGAAGTCAGTGGAAGCTGGCTGGCCTAAGGGTGGGGAGATGGCAACTACCTCGCAGGGCACCTGTCCTTTCCTTTCCTTGGGACCATCCTTTTTTCCTGCTTTTTAGTCTCACCCGCACTCGCTCACACATCAGTTATTTGTGGTCTCTGCGGGGCTGGTGAACAAGACCCCCCCCCAGGCTCCAGGGGGCTGCAGGACGGACTCTTGACGCAGGCCAAGGGCAGGACTCACCGTCGGGGTGTTCGTAGGGCAGCCAGTGGTGGGGCTGGTGAACAAGACCCCCCCCAGGCTCCGGGGGGCTGCGGGACGGACTCGTGACGCAGGCCAAGGGCAGGACCCACCGTCGGGGTGTTCGTAGGGCAGCCAGTGGTGCTTGCTGTTCTGATACTCGAAGTGGGAATTGCGTTGCTGACACTGCTGCGCTCTGAAGTCCTCAAAGTGCTTCGGGCACTCCTCCGTGTTGCAGAGCTGAAACTCAAAATTGACACCAGCGCAGTCTTCGCCTCCGTTAATGGGCCTGCCAAGAGAAAACATCCCAGAGATTCTAAAACCCTCTGGACGTCACATCTAAGGAGTCATCTTCCATCTTAGGCGAGCTCTCACGCTCTATTTTAAGAGATGATCGTGCAAAAAAGAGGTGTGAAGTGAGACAAGTGGAGCAGAGCAGTTGCACTGCACGGACACACGTTGGCACGGCGGGCTCAGCGCTTGCCCACGCATCCCAAAACGCAGACGTAACAGATGTGCACACATGTGCTGCCTATAGTCCATTTACAACTGGAGATTATCCGACTGTAATGGATATGCTGAGCTCACACTCTGTGTGCTCCTCCCTTACACATCAGCTAAGTCCTTGGGATGGTTCTCCTCTGGAAATTCTGGATTCTCCAAAAATCATCCTGGCTCCCTGCAAAAAGCCACCTTTCAAGGGGCTCGAACAGAACGTGAATTTTGGCAGACTCCATCCAAAACCCAACTTCCACTTCAAGTGACCCCTGTGAGGAGTCCCAGCTGACCGGAACCCCCTCCCAGCCAGAAGACCTACACCGGATTGTTGCACTGCCGCGTTCGAAAGCGAACTCCAGTTCCGCAGGTCCGTGAGCAGGAGCCAAATTTCGTCCAGGGTCCCCAGTTGCCGTCCTGCTTCAGCTGGTTGGCGTTCTTCCACATGCAGTGACCTTTGTAGCACCACTGGGAGAAACGGGGCGAGGAAAACGGGTGAGGGCAGTGACAAAACCCAAACCAAATGTATAATCGCAGTAGAATTCCAAGAATGGAGAGGTGAGCTCCTGGGCTGAGAAGGAACATCTCAGAGATCCCCCTCCCATGGACAAACTCATGAAGATTCAACACGTTCCACCTTCCTCTTCACTTTGTTTAACTAATTATTTGTCTCTTTTGAGTCTGAGTCGCAACCACCTTTCTGAAGGAATTTTTATGTTCTGAATATTAGCAGGATAAAGTTTTTGCTGAGGATTAGTTGTGGTTTTCTCTTTTTTTCCCCCTCATACTGGCCAAATCTCATACTTATGCACGCAGGCTGGAGCAGAGGGCTCGGCACCGGGCAGAGGGGTGTTTTGCTGCTGGTGAGGGCATCCTCACATGGTGTGAGCGGCTCTCCTGTATCTCAAAATACATGGAGTTTGCTAAAGAAACACTTATTTGAGTGTCATTTTATAATTAAAAACAGATTAGCAGCTGGACACCCACCAACGGGGATATCAAAAGGGAAAAATAAAAAGCTAATCCGAAGCCTGCACAAACGTTCAGCCCCGGATGTCTGGTCCACAAGCCCTAAGAAGAGATCCTACAGCAACAGAATCATCTGCTACCATGACTCCTAAAGACACTTCATGGACACTTTGCAGAGGAGATGAGAATCCAAAAAAACCTCACCTTTAACCCAAATGAATGCAACTGTCGTTCTTTTTTTTTTTTTTTTTTTCAATGCAAACATAGGGAAACCACCACACTCACTTTTCCAGGGGCACACTCTGTCCCGTCGAGGGGAGGTCCTTTCTTCGTCTTGCAGAAATAGGGGTTGTCTGGATGGCTACACCACAGCTGCTTGCACGGGTCAAAGGTTCGGAACTGAAAGGCACAACATTTGTGAGATGAAACTCCAGAGCAGATGATTAATATTTTTCAGACAAGGATTCAACCCACCCACTCAGTTCATCTCACGCCCAGAGCGACCAGTAAGCATAAAATCTTCAGAAAGAAAAAGGGCAAAAGTATCTTCAGAAAGAAAAGGGCAGTGCTTATTCCCTGCATCCCCTAGTCCTGAGCTGGTGAGGAGAGGAAAGGAGAAGACACCCAGAAATCAGAGGAAAATGATGGTTTTTTCCCCTTCTTCCTTAGGATCACTACCACAAGTCTGCGTCACGTGGACCGTGCTGCCTCCACTTGACACCAAATGACCCAAACGCCTGGGTTTCACCCAGAAATCCCTCTCTCCTCTTTATCCATCTCTTTAACTGCTCTTCCATGAGGAGCAAACGTGGGTATTGCAGCTCTTGAGTATGGCCAGACACCAACTGGATGAACGAAGGTTTGTCTTTCCCGGACGTACCGCCGTGCACATCTTATAGCCAACGCCAAAATCAAAGCGGCACTGCTCGTCCATGGAATAATTGATGCCTGGTAGTTCAGGAAGCTTGGGCCAATCGTGTTCGAAAGGGTCGTCGAGAAGACAGTCATAAGAGCTGTGGAAACAATACACAGGAAAAAAAATATTATGAGAAGATGTAGTGATTTTTTTGGGTTTTTTTTGGTCAGCAAGATGAAAGTACTTATTCTTAGTAAGGGAATATTCATGTTCTCCAACCTCTTTTCTGTCCTGTTGACATAGTTAATGCTTTCCAAAGGAGGAATACCGCCTGGAGCAACATGACCACGCACTTGATGGGAAGATCCCACAGCAAAATCCCTGCATTTACTGGCGATGGAGGAGCAGTGTCTCCAGCCCTGTCCTGCCCTCGCTATACGTGTGAAATTTGCACTTTACTTCCCTGTCACCAGAGGCAGAAAACAAACCCTCCTCCGCTCTCGGTGCCCAAGGGCAACATCTCCACCTGCTTCGACCTGGAGTGTGGTTCCTACAAACCCGCTGTAGTCAGAGGGAGTCTTTCCACTGACTTCATGGAGCTCTGAGATAGGACAGTAGTCCAAAAATACGTCTTCTCACCTGGCATCTCCTGTACTCAGAGGGTTGAAGCCCTGCCTGTGCAAAGGGCAAGAACAAAGCTTGCTTTTTTCTTGTTTCTCTTCAACTCTCATGTTTTCAAACAGTGATACTGGTGGGGTGCTCCTCCTGCACTGGGATATTGCACTTAAAGCTCTAAGGTCTCAATCAACGACTCTCTAACACTTTACGTTACGAAGAGCGTTTCTTCTGTAGGAGACGGGGGTCAACTCATGAAGTTTCCACTCAGTTTTGACTGGGAAAAGCTGCTGTTTGCGACGGAGAAGAACACCTGTGTAAGGACTGGATGAAGATGCTCCTCAAGTCAGTGGAGCAGAGACCTGTTCTCCCCCTCTGCCTAATTCAGATACATATGGCATGCCACCCTCTCTCTTCCACAACTTCTGCTCGTTCCTTTTCTGACTTTAGGGCTTCATCCTGCCAGTTTCAGAGCACAACCCCTAGAGAAATCAAAAACCTCGGGAGAACACCAGCCACCTGACATCAAGTCTGCCAGAGAGTCTCCTGCTGCCATCCCCCAAGAACGCCACGGACTTCGAGTGCAGCCCGAAGCGAGGAAGCCTTGTTCCTGCTTTACAGCTTTTCCAACATCCATTGGAAGGGGGGAAGAGTAAGGTCATCAGCTCAACAGCGACGGCCGGATGTGGAGACGGTGGTGTCCCCGAGCACGGAGCAGCCCACCGCAACGCCTCCGAGGGCTGAATCCCCACTCGGGAGCCGAGAGCGGCCCGGCCCGGAGCATCCCACCCCACAGGACCTCTGTGGGATGAAAAACACCTCTGTGTTTATCAACAGGGCTTCCCCATCCAAGGGGTCCGTTCCTGACACCCCTCCCTGCTCTCCGCGCCGCGACCGCCACCCCTCTCCGCGGTCCAGCGGCGGGCAGCGCGCTGCCCCGCATCCCAGTGGCTGCAAACGCTAAACCTTCGGCAAAGCAGCTCCCACCAGCGCTGCTGGCTCCTTACTGGATGTATCTCTTGAGCTCCTGGCCGCTGCAGCGGGACCAGTGGTAGCGGTGAAAGGCCGCCTGCACGAGGGGGGCCATCACGCTGCCCATCGCCGTCTCGTCCCCGCATCGGTTCCCCTGCCCGTCGTGCTCCATGCCCAGCCTGCGACAAAGAACAAAGCTCTTCAACTGGGACAACAACCGTCAAGAAAACAGTTTCTCGTGGAATCACGTGAAATGGAATTTTTCTTTGCGTTCTACAGATACCACCTGCGTTTTGGACTGCTCTTCTTTGGTGATAGAACACAAGGAGTCTCTGAATATTCTTTCATTTGTACTTTATTTGTTAATATCAGGAAGGAACTCCCTAGATGACGATGACTTCTTATGCTTCGGATAAAGGAAAACAATTCTGCTCATTACGGAGCAGCAAATTCAGACATTGAATGTTCGTGTTCGGACACTCACTTCTCAAAAGCCTCTATTTAAACACAGAGCCAACACAGCTCTCATGTTCCATCCCCAAAGAGCTAACACAGTGGGCACGTTACATCTCCAAGCAGGGACCTGGTCACCTCCAGTTGGGCTCAATTCCTCCCAGTGAGCTGGACAAGTAGCCTGTGCTACTTAAGGAAGACAAAAATCAGATCCTCAGTGCTTGGCATCAGTTCATCCAGACAGTGAACAGAGATCTTGGCTTAATTGGTGACTCCCAACTTTACGTTTTACCATTCTTGAAGAGGTGTCAAATGTAACAAATCAGCACTGCCAGTCCAGGAGAAGGAATTGAGGACGCCTGACCAGCTGCTGTCTCCACAGCCCGGGCCCTCCAGGTTCCTTACCAACCTCCTCCTCACCCTAGAGAAAACCAGTTCTCCCTCTTCTCTTCCCCTTCCTTCCCCCACTTACCTCTTGATTGCTTAAACCACTGATGCTCTGCAAAGGGATGGAAATAAAATCAGGACAGCTGCCACCCAGCCGTTCAAACCAAACCACCTGCAGCACGCAGGAGATGCGGCCCCGTGTTTTGTTGGCAATCTGACTGCGAAAGGTGGACTTACACGTGACCGGTTTCGTGAGCAACAACAAAAGCTGATGAAAACCCATCCTCGTGGTTGAGAGTACAGCTCCGCACCGGGTGACACATGCCAGTAACAGGAGCGTATCCTGTCGAGAGAAACCACGTCTGATTCTTTTACCCATGACATTTATTTTAAACGAGACCTCCCCGATAAACTTACTGCCTGAGAAGAACCTAGGATCATCTTCCTCATCTGTGTGACTTGAGGCACTTACACGTACCACCAAAACCACACAAGATCCCTGTTCCATTAAAAGGCAGAGCTACAGGCTGGGATTTTCTGCGTTGTCTTGGCATTAGTACCTTCACCCACGCGCTGCCTGGTGCACACTGCACGTCTTGGCCTCAGGGAAAGCTAAAATCTTTCTGAAGACAAGGGAGTCTGCCTTCCATCTCAACCCAATCCACTTCACTCCAGGCGTGCCAGCCCAGAGCTGGAGGAGAACTCGGACCCTTATCTCCCCTTGGAAGGGGAAGGGAGCATGGAGGCACTGAGCACCAACACCTAAGACATCTCCAACGGGACAACCACAACATGGTCTCACCCGGACTCTTCTTTATCTGCACTGACATAAATCACATTTATGCCCCATCCCTGGCAGTGTTCCAGGCCAGGTTGGATGAGGCTTTGGGCAACCTGGTGTAGTGGAGGGTGTCCCTGTCCATGGCAGGGGGGTTGGAACTGGATGATCTTTGAGGTCCCTTCCAACCCAGACCATTCTGTGATTCTATGATTCTACGACACAAGTCACACTGTCTGAATTTACTTCCCATTACCATTAGTCCCTTGAGCCATAAATATTAACTCAGTTATCAAAGTAGATGGTGCACCATCTACACCTCAACACCTCCTTAAGCATTGGCTGAACAGAGGCCTGTGTTGCTCATTGTCCCAGGATCATCTAACGTCGTTTTCAAATCATCTTTATTTTTTTTTCTGGCAGGCTCTAGCCAAGAAACACCAAGTCCAGACAGCTCTGCTCCAGGTCAGCTGCATTACCTTGCATACCTGCGGGCCCAAAATCTTGCCTGGTTAAGAAGATGGCATGATCGTGGTGCTCGGAGTGACTGGGATCCGGCTTCTGCTGCTGATACGCCCAGCGGCAGACGTTCTCCAGGCTTCTCGAGGGATTCCCCCTTTCGATCAAGCTAATGGACTGAAAGAGCAAGGTGTCAGACCCAAGAGCTCCTAAAGGTACGGAATTCAGACAACGTGTACCGAAACGCTGCTTCAACATCTGCTTCTGCAGACGAAAGACATCAGCCTGGTCTTTGGACTTGCCCGAATTCCATGTCTGAGTTCAACGGACCAGGTCTGGTCTTTATCGAGCCCTAAGGAGCGGTAGTGCTTTCCTAACATCCTGAAGGATCTAACAAGAGTTTGTTTCAAAACTCTCCGAGTGTGTTTTAGCTGCAAAATCAACGTATTGCTACACGTACTGCCCGGGGTAAAAGGTGGGCATGAGGGCATCTAGCACAGGGAAAGCAGTTCCCTGGCACCAGCTGCTCAGCACACTTGTGTTTCCGCAGCCCTGCGTGTCATTCCCAAGGACTACGCTGACCAAGAAGACGGAGGAGCGGATCGGAGGCTTGCTCACCTTCGCGTAGCCCAGCATGATCATCCGCACCAGCACGACGTTGATGTGGACGCCCAGCGACTCGTCGTGGTAAATCTCATTCACCTGACGGGGAAAAAAAGGGAAAAATTAAAAAGGAAAAAAAAACCACTGATGATCCCAAGGGAACTTCCAAGCCATGTGCACGTTGTTTCAAGAGCTTATAACACTATAGTCTTCTCCAAGGAGGAGTCAAGTTTCACATCACTTCCATGCAGTGAGAACTAGAGATTACTCTTCCCATCATCACATACCCCCTCGCACAGAACTTCCCGACGTACGTGCCAAGACTCCTCTCCAGTTTAACGGCCGTTGGATCAGGGCCAACAGAAAAGGTGATGGAGGGGGGAAAAAAAAGACTCCACGTCGAAACCCTGCCAACACTTCTCTGAAGGCTTGATTTCACCCTTTGATAAACCTAACGAGGGAAGCGAGGAGATTCCTGAAAGCATGGTTAGAGTCGAGCGTTCCGAGTTCACGGAGGGATTTCAAAGCAGTTAAGAGTTTGCTTGAACCGCAGCTAAAGCCGTCGCCATCCATCCCACGTGGCCACCTCTGCTACGCCATCTGGCCACTCCGGCTGTGGGGGAATCCGAGAGTCTGTTCCTATTTGTTTCATCGACTGGTTGTCTCCCTTGAAAGAGTTTAAACCCATGGGATGAGCGTTTCAGCGGGGAGAGCGAGGGAGCCTATTTTTGCTCATTTTGTGAAAGAATCTGCTGCCAGCAGCTCTCACTCAAGGAAACGTGCCGTTAACTTCAGCACAGGTTTGTCCTTGGAAGATACCAGAGGATTGATGTGACTTAAGGCCATTTTTGCGTTCTGAAGCTCTGGGTTCGGGAAGGCAGAACATCGAGACAACGACACGAACGACGAGGCTCCATTTCTGCACACGCGTAGGCACGTGGTTGACTTTAAAGATGTGACTAGTACTCTGATTCTAAATCAATCTTAAAATTAACAGGGAAAGTGTTTCCAAATCCCAGAAATGCTTTGAAAGTTTTCATCTCCAAGTTTTGAAGTCAACGGCATTGCCGGAGATGTAAAGGCTGTAGAACACCTTCTAGGGTAACGATATCTCCAAAGAGACTTGATTTCTGCAAGTCAACACGTTCCATTGAAAAAAATTCCTCAACTACATGAAAGGCTGCCCAGGGAGGTGGTTGAGTCCCCATCCCTGGATGTGTTTAAGAATAGGGTGGATGATCTACTTGAGGATATGGTTTAATGGGGATTAGGGATGGTTGGACTCGATGATCTCTAAGATCTTTTCCAACCTAGAAATCTATGAATCTATGAATCTATGAAAGCACGTAACATGTATGTGATCTGGGACGACTCACTACATCAAAACCAACTGCTGGCCTGAGAAAACACCCATCCATAAGACAACCCCTGAGACCTCCCAACGCCAGTCCTCAAGGACTGCAGGAAACGGAGAGGAAAGCGCCAACATCCGAGCCCGTGGGGAGCCCGCCCGGATCAGCCCGTGGCTTGGCACCAAACCCGCTCCGTGCTCTCCAGGGAGAGCCCTACGCATCGTTTCAAAGCAGAATTTTGATTCAAGTGATTCAAAAATCACTTGAATTTTGATTCAAGTGATGCCAAAAATCAAGAATTTTGATTTCTTTAGCCTCATTTCCAAAGGAAAGAAAGATTAGATAGTCGTTCCCTCTGTTAGTTCTAACGCCCCAATACGTTTTGGCCCCGTTTACCACTTTCTGGCATCACTTGCAAAACAAAGACCTCAAAGAAATTAAGTATCCAGAAATTCCGTGAAAATAAGCAGATGATTAGAAAGAACAGTCTCGTTCCTGCTCACAGGAAGGAAGGACTGCGTATCCGTAACCGCACACACACGCGGAGCTCGGAGAATGCTCCCAGCACAAGGGAAGCTTTCGTCCCATCTGCCACGGTGGGGTTTCTTTTGAAGAAATATTTTTTTAGAAGCAACTAAAACTGCTGCTCTAATTTTTAGAGATAAATTAGAATTATGTGGTCGCTTTTGTACTAAAAAAGAGTGTTTGTGGGAGCGAAGTTAGAAAACTGGAATTACGCAGATGGGTCAAAAATTGTTCTTCTTGAAGACGGTCCTTGTGCCTGGGAAGGTGAGAAATGTCCTGGCACCAGAGGATAAATTAGGGGGCTAAACCACCTGCAGATCATCAAAGAAGCTACTCATCCCCCCTCAAAAGAAAATAAATATTATATTCTGAGTAACTGGTGAAAAATAAACACCAGCTCCGAGGGTGGTGTATTTGAGCAGGATCTATTTTTGAGTCAGGCTAAGCAGCACTTTCCCCTTCCCCTCAGGGAAGAAGGTGGGTGTGAGTCGTCTGGACGGTGGGACCTGGCACAACGATTTTCATCAATTACACCAAATGCTCCGTTTGACTCTCCGTGGGTTTTGGGAGCCCAATCGACTTTGTGTTTCTGCCTTGATGAAACTACTCACAGTTCTGTGTCTGACTTGGTCGAGGAATTCAGAAGTTAAGGATTAACACCATCAGCTGCTCTGCTCTTCACATCACTGGAAATGAAACAGCTTTGAAAAAAAATAATCGACTACTGGTCTACTGACCACCCACGGGTACAAATCACTAGATTCAAGGGCAAGGAGTGAGCTGAGCTCTTTTGGTGACACCTTCACATGCCACCGTAGTTTTTACCGGAGGCTGAGGGCAACATGAGATTAAAATTGAGGTGAATCGATATGTGGGAGAAACGAGCTACAAGAACAGCTCCCTAACTCGTAACCTTGACCCAGGAGGTAAGCTATCTATCTCCTGCTTCACCTGAATCTTGTTTAAAAAGTCATAGAAAAAAAGATGACCGTAGCTAAAATCTCGACGGGAACGACGAGGTGGTTACAAAAGCATTCCTTCTAGAAGAGAGAATGACCTTCGCCAAAGCCACAGCTTCTCAGGGCAGCGGTGCTGGGGCTTGTGTGGGATCTGCACTGGCACCTACTCCCAGGAGATGGAGCCACAGATGTTTAAGGAAACATGGAAGAGCTTTGGGACAGCGTATCAGCCCTGCTGCACACAAAGTTAAACGCTTTTAAGACTAAAAAGACAATATTCTGAAACCATCTTCAACGACCATCTATTGTCGATGTCTGACGAGGCACGAGGGCAAAAGAAAACGGCTCCCGGCTTGTGGTGTAGCAGGAATATTCTGCTACTCACAGGAGCAGTAACTTTTCATCTCAAACTTTCTGGATCCAAAAGTTCACTTGCTTCCACATGGAACTGCGCAGAAAAGAAGGAGCGCTGACTTGCCTCTTCTCCTCTACCTGAGGAAACAGCTGCCAGGACATTCTGGGTTTGAGAGCAGAAAAAGTCAGGAGATGCCTCAGCTCAGCCCTGTGTTCAGGTCCTGCTCCGTACTTCCAGACAGAGGCAGAGGGAACGGAAAACGGGAGCGAGAGATGGAGAGATGCAGCAGTGCAGGTAGTGTGTGTGCATGGAGACCTGTGGTGGAATTTTTAGACGTACCTGGCACCATCTGTTCTTACTGAAGCTCATCGTGAATCATAGAATCATAGAATCGTAGAATGGTTAGGGCTGGAAGGGACCTTCAAAGGTCATCTAGTCCAACCTCCCTGCAAGGAACAGGGATATCTCCAACTAGATCAGGTTGCTCAGGGCCTTGTCCAACCTGGCCTTGAACATCTCCAGGGATGGAGCATCCACCCTGGAGTGAAGTTCTCATTGACTTCAGCACGTGGACAACAAAATAAAATCTTTCTTTAGAGAGAAGGCGATAGGAGTGGAACTGCGAGGCTGATGGATAGTGATCACCAAAAGAGGAATTCTGTCAACAGCAACTTGCAATTTTCCTTGGGAACTGTGTTGTGGGACGTTAGGAATTATTAGAAATGTATCAAGTTTACATTTTTTCCCCACTGTTTTTCAACTATTTCCAAATTCTTGGAACTACCCTACAAAACCACTGCGAAAAAGATCATTAAAGGAACATCTTGAAGAGAGAAAACTGCATCCAACAGCAGCCAAACCCATCATACTTGTGCCAAGAGCGGTCTCCCAGCAACTCCTGCGAGAGATTCCGAAAGCCTTTCGCCTTCCCAAACACAGAGCGCGGCGCTGCAGCAGATACTCACGATGTTCATGAGGGTGAGGAGGTAGTTTTGAACGTGTTCCTTGCCGTGGAATCGGACCACGGAGTCGTCCACGCCCAGCAGCACCTCGATGTTGTAGTCGTCGCCTCCCGCGTGCCGGCGTCGCCGCAGCGTTTCGTTCAGCTGCCGTTCCACGGCGCCGGACAGGGAACTCAGCTCTCCCGGGCCACCGAGCAGAGACTCTACAAGAAAGAGAAAGACAACAACGTCTACTCTCATACCGTTCCAGAAACGCCCTCCTGCACGTCCTCCTCCTCTGTCGAGTCACCGCTTCTCCGGATAAAATAAATCGGGAACTCTGAAGAGATTATTCTGGTGGTGTAGGGGTAGGGGAAAGCAGCAGACACCCAACGAAAAAAAGTCATTCAACCATATGGTTCTACGATTCATCACATGGGTCTTACTGCAAGCAGAAAATCCATCCTGAAGGACATTTAGGTCAACTACTTCGCTTCCTAACCCAGAATTTACCCTCTCTTTTTTTTTGCAGCACACCAGGCGTGGGTTCCAGAGCGCCACAGACATGGGAAGCCTCAGGACTCACCGGGGAACTTGTACAACGCTGAACTTGGAGCTTTAGAGCTCACAAGTCACCTGCTCAGCCCCGATTCATGTTGGAAAGATGTCCAACAGCAGCGTTGCGTGCTCCCCCTCACACCCCATCACCGGAACAGCTAAGCTTGGCTTTCTGACTGACTTCACTATTTTTGTAATTCTGGGTTTAAAAAGGGGGAGCTGGAACATCCTCTCCGGCGCAGATCATGGGATACCAGAAGGGTCCCTTGATGACAGGGGTCAAGGGGCAGAGTTCAGATAAACCACTGTGAACTGGCTTTTAAGGGGATGCATTCAATAGCCCGCATCTGCAACAACTCAAAAGCTGTTTCTTCCACTTCAAGACCATAATGCAAAACAGCACCGTGGATTTTTGGCAGGAAAAAAGTCACAGCTGTAGGCTGAGTTCTTCCTAAATCTAAGCCAACACACCAACAGGCTCTAAGCAATACACAACGGTCAAGAGGCCTGTTTGGAACATCTCACTGCACAAACCACCAGCTACGTCCCGCAGCCCTCCCTAGGAACGGGGCTGGTTTTGTGTCGCCGGCTCTACAACGCTCCGGGAGCATCTCCATTCCCCACTCATCCATTTAGAAGACATGAGACAACACAGCCCGTGAACACCCAGGGATCTTCCTGCACTATGAGCCCAGCAAAAGCAACCAGCGTCCCACGGATGGAAAGGAGAGGACGGTCCTGCATTCCGCTCACGTTGTCTCAAGCTGTAACGGGGCATCTCCCCAAGCGATGGCACAGCTTTCAAGTCCTTCTTTACGCCACAGTAGATGAAGGCCGAGGTTGCAAGGACACAAACTGGCCCTTCACAAGCTTTCAGGCAAGACTCCCAGTTAACTGGATGCAAGTCTTGCTTGCGGAAGGAGAGCAGGACCAGAGCCAACGCCGCAAAACGTGCTGGATGGCCACGCCGTAACTCACCTTGAGCAGATCCAACGACCCGCTGAATCCGCTGGGAAGCCTCTCCAAGTATCCCAGCGGTCTGCAGTGACACATAAATAACTCTCCCCAAACCTCGCATCAAACGGCCAGGTTGTCCCCAGTTGTTTTCAGAAGCTTCACCCGTGGCTGCGGGTGAGAGACCGGGTCTGCAAACAGCTTTACAACTCAACCGCGAGCCCTCTCGCTCTCCGGAATGCCAACCCTGTGATAGCACACAAGTGGGAAATTCATAAGACAAGCTCCAATTCTAAAAATCACCGGAGCTGGCAAAGCCGCCGGGCGCGGCGTCCAACGGAAACACACCGCTCACGTCACCGTGTCATGAATGGAAGCGTTGGAGATGGCTCCAGAAAGAACCAAGTATCCGCGCCGCGCAGCACCTTTGGCTTGGCCATTGCTTCCCTCCTTAAACCGGTGGTTTTGTGGTTCCAACGAAGAGGAGAATCTCTTTTTTGTGTGCACGGGAGCAGGCAGAGGCAGCCACAAAGGGTGTCTTTTTTCCACCCCCCTACCACGCAGCCACTTTCCGCACACCGAGGGTATTCTCGCCACGCCAGTGTTTTCCACGCATGCACCCCCAGAACGTTTTTCAACTGTGCAATCCCAACAAAGCAAGAAAAAATAACCTCGCTCGAGGAAAAAAAAAAAAGTAATAACCATTTTTGGCCAAGATTTGGAAAAAAAAAAAAAAAAAAAAAAAAGCATTTTCAAGCACTGAGCCTCCCATCTCCTGGAAGGCAACTTGTAGACTTCTTTCCACGGAAATCCCAAAACTCCCCCGGACTGGGCTCGGTGGCAAAAAGCCAACCGTTTCATGGCTGCTGCGTATGCCATGAAACATCTCGGGGCTTCCGAGGAGATCAAGCCGTACCCACTCGAGCTACCGTTTGCTGGTGCTGATTGGTTTTTAATTTTTTGTCTGCTGCTCTTGGCACTACAGAAGCACGTTAGTCCTTAACAGAAATGCTAACAGGGCAAAAGAACCAGCTGATGGGAGCTACTTATCTGCTAGGAATTCCTTGGGAAGCCTCATTCTGTGTGTTGCCTTTCTCCACACCTTGCTGGGACGCGGAGCTGTGGGGTCCTGTCCAAGAAACACCGGATGAAGCGATTTTTTTCCCCATGGCTCAGCACTTAAGTGTCTTTAGAGTCAATCAATCACAATGAAAGCCAGGCTGGATGAACTAACGATGGCTTTGTTAGCGAATGCCACCATCCGCCGCCAAGCACTTAACAGAAGGCACGGGCGCCGGGATGACGGCGTGACACACGAGGAGATGCTCACGTTCCTACAGCCCAGTCTTGACATCTCTTTCTTCGTGCTCATGATTCAGCAAAGTCCTGGGGCACTAATGGAAATTTTACAAGAGGCCACAGGGTCAGCGAACCTTTCCACAGTGCTGAAGTCTGTTCCAAATACCTCAATCGACCTCAAGTTATTTACCACGATTGATCATCGTTAATGTTGGCTAATTCTAACAAGTTTATTCTGCGCTCACTGGCTTCAGCCGAGGCCTGGGGAAGGGGGATCAGCAGATATCCTGTCCAAGCAGCGCAGAAAGCGTCCTCAGACGTGTTCTGCTCAGGAGATGGCATCATTAGTCTTATAAAATACACACATGTAATTGAGAACCTCCCAGGCAGGCACACACAAACACGTTAGATGTTTTATCTAATCCGCTCCGCAGAAGGTTGTCCAAGTTGGCCTATGGCCTATGCATCAACATTGCTCCAAACAAGACTAATTCCAGACCTTCTGTACTGCAATAAACACCAAACACATCCATCCTTGTCCTTCTGACCCTCCCTCTTGCCAAAACCACAAGACACACGGATTGTTTCCGTTACTCCATGTTGTGCACTCGTACCCATCCGCACGCATCCGCTGAGCTTCGGGGACAGACGGACATCCGCGGCGCCAGTGAACGGGCGGTACCTACTGGTGGTTGGTACTGTTGGAACCTACTGTTGGTAGTTGGCACTACACACTGTCGGAACTCAGGACACCAAAGACAGCCACGTCTCTAGAAGTCATCAGGCAACGGATACGAAACGCAGGTGTCGTGACTGCCCCCGCGTCCGGCCACAGCCTTCGCGTGCAACGGGCTGCAAAGAAAACCGGCGAAGACAAACGCATCGTCATCTTTGCACGTTAATCCAGGGCTCAGGAAAAGCTGAGGTCCTTGGAGCGACTGTAACTACGGAGCGTCGGCGCCGCAGGGAGCACACCACCTGTACATATGGAAACCCAGGGGTTCAGCACCGAGATGAGCAGTTTTCACGTAGGTGGTGCCGTAGATTTGTGGGTGAATGCTACAGGAGCACCTCTGGACACCCCCTTACCTGCACGCTGGAGCTGCTGTCACCCAGTAACGGAGAAATCAATCCTTCCTTACACAACTCTTCTCTAGAGCACAGAGCAAGTAATTCAGACACAAGACCAAGTTGGAGAAACGACCCCCTCCTTACGAGCAAGAGATCCCAGCAATGCTTACCGAAGGGAATTATTTAAATTCATCATTTGAAGACAAAGGTTCTTGGCACGTTAATCCACAAAGTCTGCCCGGAGGCTCTGAGCGCGCCGCCCAACGCGACATTCTCCGCTACGCCCCGAGGAAACTCGTCTGTTTGTCTGCGGATTTGTGCTACAAAGACTAATCCTTCCTAATCTCATTGGGGAATGAGCTGGGTCATTATCTCTTCCTTTTTTTATTTCGCCAGTCACCTGCATCTTTTACATCTTGATCCTACCTGTCAGAAACAGATCAGCCCGAGCCCTTTCACCAAGTGAAAAGGTGGTGGAAACACTTGAGTAGGCAGATGACCCACACACGTGCAGGTGGGAGTTATTTTTTTCTCTTTTCGCGCCGCGTCGATCAGAGCCTGCCTGACCACGCATCAGCCAGCAAACAGGAGGAGAGCAAAGAATGACATCCTCCTCCAGTCCTGCTGGGGTTCCTCTGCCAAGAAAAACCTGGAGTTTTGCGCATGTAGCAAAGGAAGGAATGGAAATGAAGCAGAGACGCACCAGAAGGAAACCTCCCCCGTGTGCTCTGGCATCGTGTTTTGCTGAAAACCACAGCTGCTGACCTCACCTTGGGCAACCTCGAGAGACTTGGACCCACGCTGCTCGATCGGATGGTGGGCTTCTGTCAGGCACAAATCCATCTACAGAGCCTCTCCGTGAACCCAGACGCGTGCATTCCCAGAGCCATAAGCCCTTTGCAGACCAGTAAAGCCCACCTCCCTTCTAAGTCCTTTTTCAGGAAGCCTGAACTTTTAACATGAACACCTACGTCAAAAATTGGGCATCACTGTACCCCTCCTAAACGCCTTCCTGGATTTAAAAAAAGAAAAAAAAGATATTCTGGGTTACAGCATGTATCTTTCCTAGAACTTCAAAAGAATGGAA